GACTATGCATATGTATTTCTCTGAGCAAGGAAGGAAGTATATGGTACCCTTCTGATCTCCATAATTCTTTCTACCCATTTCTTTCCCTGGAGTATCCCTATGTTTGAGGAATGCCTTGCTTGAATAAGTGACTCTAAAAATTTGCTAGTTCTGTTCTACAAGTCTACAAGTTCTAGGTAAAGCCTAGAAGCAGCACAGATGTATTCACTGGGTGTGCTATTCAGGCTTGTCTATTACTAATGGCTTTCTTAATGGGACAGTTTTCAGTAAAGCAGTACCTTAAGACTATGCGTGAGAAAATATATGTAGGCTGTAATATGATAACATTACTATTATTAACATTATTGTAATGCCAAGGGATCATTCAAGAGTTAGGTACTACATGTTAAGCACAAAACACACCAGTTTATTTCTGTGATGGTCCCCTTAATAAAAATAAAACAAGAAAACATGAAAGTTCTCAATTTATCGCACATATATAGTGACTTAGTTTTGTGGTTTCACACTGATGGCTCGCTATACTCCACCACAGCACTCTCTCACTCAAAGGAAGACAGGGAGGAAATACAATGAAAAAGGTCTCATGGGCTGAGCTAAGGACAGGGAGGTCATTCACCAATAACCATCAAAGGCAAAACAGACTCAGCCTAAGGGAGATTAATGTAATTTATTGTCTATTGCCAACACACTAAATGGTGAGAAACTAAAGGCAAACTAAAAACACCTTCCTCACATATACGCTCTTCTACTTCATCCCTCTGAGCAGTGCAGGGGAATTGGGAATGGGGAATGGGAGTAGGGGTTGTGGTCAGTCCTTAACATTTTTGCCACTCCTTCACGGTCCCTCTCTGCCCCCTCTCCACGCAGGGTCCCTCCCATGGGATGCCGTCCTTCCCAAACTGAGCCTGCAGGGGCTGCCCACAGGCAGCAGCTCTTCAAGAACTGCTCCCACACAGCTCCATCCCACGGGGTCCATCCCCCAGGAGCAAACTGCTCCAGCACGGGTCCCCCACGGGTGGGCGGCAGCTCCCCCCAGCCCCCCTGCTCCTGCGTGGGCTCCTCTCCACGGGCTGCAGCTCCGGCCCGGGGCCTGTTCCTGCAGGGGCTCTCCATGGGCCGCAGCCTCCTCCAGGCCACATCCACCTGCTCCACCGGGGGCTCCTCCACGAGCTGCAGCGTGGAGATCTGCTCCATGTGGGACCCATGGGCTGCAGGGGGACCCACCAGCCACAGGGGAACTTGTTCTGTGTGCCTGGAGCACCTCCTGCCCCCCTGCTGCCCTCACCTTGGGGGCTTCAGGGCTGCTTCCCTCACATTTCTCACCCCTCTTTCACAGCTGCTGTTGAACTTCAGTTTTTTGGGGGCCTCTCCCAGAGGCCCAAACAGTGTCACTCATGGCTCGGCTCTGGCAAGCAGCAGGTCCCTTTTACAGACATCTGGGGCTGGTTCTGATGCATCAATGCATCAGATACATCAGAACACATCTGATGCTGGCTCTGGCTTCTGCCATGGGAAAGCTGCTGGGCTCTGCTCACAGAGACCATACCTACAGCTCCCACTCTGACCAAAATCTTGCCACATAAGCCCAATATGTTTAGCTAGATACTTTTGTCTCTTTGCAGTTTTGCACAGTTGAACAGATACTGATTAGGTTTACTGCTTTAAAGCTTTCATCTGAACATGATCAGATTATGTTTACAGTGGTAAATTAAAAAGAAAAAAAAAAAAAGTTAATTTTGTGTACTTTCCACCTAGTTTCTAGATTTGTCTAATATGTGTCAAAATATTCTTTGACTGCACATATTACTAATATCTTCTGGGAAACAGAAACCAGACTGCCTACAATGAATTCAGGAAATTGCAAATGTCCTTGAGGCACAAGAAGCAAAATCAGGAGTCCATGAAGTTCAAGCTCACACTTCTATGTGAACTGTCTCTGCTGTTCAGTTGTTAAAGACAGACTTGACAGATTAAAGGCATAAACTCTGCCAGTACATAGTTAGTGGAGACTCATGAAACATATGGATCCTTTCAGGAAAACATGATAACCTTAAAACATCTCTGCCTTCAACAAAGAAATGTTTTGTTATAAGCAATCCAAACATGGTTTTATTTTCTCTGAAAAGGCACTGCTAATTAGCAGATTTGACAAGCGGCTTCTATTCTTTCTTCTGTCACTGAGGTTACCGATTCCTCTTGTTCTTTGTTTTCTGTCTCAGTTTCCTTGTTCTCTGGGAAAAAAAAAAATGAAGTCTGTTGATGAAGAGTGCTATAAAGATAGTTATGGGAGGCCATAGCAAAGTGTTCTGCCAATAGGGAAAGCTTAAGAAAAGCTACAGGGACAGGTGAAGCATGTTGGTCTAGTGCTCTCCCTGTGTCCAGCAGTCTGCATCTCCAGTATATCCTGAGTCAGACTTACTCAAATACAATTCACTAAAGTTAGTCAATTAAGTCAGATACATCTTACTAAATATGCTGTCAGCAAGGAAAACAATGAAACCTGAGCTGTTCACCTTACACTCTCTTTGTTGTCAGTAAAGACCTGGCTTTGATTTACTCTCAGTACAGAAGATGCCAAAAATAGGAAGGCTAAATCACACTCTTCTGTCCTTTGGCTATAGATTTAATCTAAAGATAGTTCTCAAAGGTCTGTAGTTACTCCCATAGGACATCAGAAGTTGGGCATGGTGGGTTTCTTAATGTTTAGTGTACTTTGATGTATTTTGCATAGTTACATACATACATACATATGTTTTGAACTCCTGTAAACAGTTAACATCCACAATGTGAAGCTTCAAAGAATTATGTGGATAAATATCTGCAATAAATGTGTGAAGAAACATTGCCTATTGTTTATTTGTATCCCGATTTTCTAATCTACACATGCCTAACTGTATAGAAACCATAACATTTCTATACTGTGGCAGACCCTGAACACTCCTTTCAGACCTGGGCAGAGTGAACTACTGTTAGCAACAGAAGCTTGATTTGTTTTGATTTTTTTTTTAATATATTTTATTTATTTTATACTTTTTTTTTTTCAGAGATTTTAAGAATCTTTGTTGGCCAAAGCAATTTTCCTATCTTTGGCAAGGTTAGGGGATTATGTAGAAAAGCCATACATTCTTGGGAGATCCCAGAGACCTGTGACAGTATGTCTTTTCCAGGCCCTTGAGAGCCCTTAGAAGAGAACATAGTTTCTTTTGAAGATAAACAACTCTAATATGGTTATGCTTGGTGTATCCCATGGGAAAACTGCTTAAATTTATTACTAGGACTTTGGGGAGCATTAGCTTTGGTGTAGCATTAGCTGTTCCCAAATGGTGAGTAAAGCTCTACACTGGAGATTCATTAAGAAATCCTCTATCTTTGAAACAGGGGTGGTGGCTTGTAATTGTTATAATGTCAAAAGTGTGCAGATGGGTCCCTGCCTCCTAGCATACACAAATGCACAACATAAGCATAACCAAACTAGGATTATGCATGCCTTGGGACGTGCTGTAAGTATTGTGTATTGTGTGTGCAGTCTATTTGATGCATCACTGACCCAAAGAGTTCACACCATTCTGTTCCCTCTGTTGGGATATGAGAGAAATAAAGTTGACCCATGTGAATGGGGTTCCAAAAATAAATTGAAACAGATTGAATTCAGGTATTGTTTTCCCTGTTTGCTTGTTCCTACTTATCAGGTAAGAGAAAACAGACCACTTGGCAGGCACACTCTACTTCCTCAGTAATTCTTCATCAACTAGGGTGAAGAAAATGGTATAGGGAATATGAAAAAACAAAATTGCTTACATGGGTTGACCTATCCCATCTTCAACTAGTGCAAAGATTTTTATGGGTCTTTCCAGTGAGTTTGATTTGAACCTTAGCAGTGCCCCTGTAAAATGGTCTAACGAAACCTGAGATTGTATTTTGCTTGGATTGATATTCCCAGGCCACTTTCCGCAGCAGGAATGAAATCTTATATTGATTTCTGGGAATGGGTCCCATTTTCAGTTTGTTGCAGCTTTGGAATTGCCTACATTCCATTGGTCACAGTGTTTCTCTTAAACATTTTCTTTCTTTCTTTCTTTCTTTCTTTCTTTCTTTCTTTCTTCCTTTCTTTCTTTCTTTCTTTCTTCCTTTCTTTCTTTCTTTCTTTCTTTCTTTCTTTCTTTCTTTCTTTCTTTCTTTCTTTCTTTCTTTCTTTCTTTCTTTCTTTCTTTCTTTCTTTCTTTCTTTCTTTCTTTCTTTCTTTCTTTCTCTTCCTTCCTTCCTTCCTTTCTTCCTTCCTTCCTCCCTCCCTTCCTTCCTTCTTTCCTTCCTTCCTTCTTTCCTTTCCTTTCCTTTCCTTTCCTTCTTTCTCTCTCTCTCTCTCTCTTTATTTTCTTCACTTTTTTTTTTTTTTTTTTTTTAAAGTAGTTTTGGATCAAATCATCTCAGTTGAATTGGCATTGCGTTCTCTTTTGGCAAGAAAACTGCCTTGTATTCACTGGGAAGAAAAGAAGGAAGCATTAACGAATGGACAGGGTGAAAGGCTGAGAGGAAGAACTTTTAATTTAGCTTAGAGTCCTGAATGAGGTTAATAGATTGTGTGAGACTCACAAGGAAGTGGTGGAAGATCAAACAGAATCTTAATTGATTTCTGATTCTGCTTTATATTATTTCATTATTTAGAGGTACCTTCTCTTCTGCCTTTTTAGAGAAAGAAATACAGTAAACCAAAGCAAACATATTAGAAATTACACTTTGACAGGTGGAGTAAAATTAAAAACAGCAACAACAGTGAAATAATTCCATGGTTTGACCTTAAGCTTTCTGAAAATAAAACAAAACAAACAAGCAAAACAAGAAGTTAGTTGCAGCTTCCTCTTATTTTCCAAGGATGTTTTAATTACTTTTTTTTTTTTCTTTTTGTAAGGGGACAGCAAAGCTTACTGGTGTTTCTTCATAAACCCTCCAGATATTTTAAGATTGTAATTGTTCTTTCTCCACATTTTTTCCTCCCATTTCAGGTTACAGCAACACATTCCAACTGCATTATTAAAAAGGAGCAAGAAACCTGTCTGGAGAAGATACGGAGGGCAGCTGCCCTGAACCCTCTTAATGACTCTTCTCCAGGTGAGTTTTAGCTTGGGATATGCCACATGAACTGATGGTGTCTAAATCCTTTCTGTTATGCCTGTAGGGGATTCCAGCAGTGTCAATGCAAACATCTTACTAAAAAGCAATGGGGACATACTGTGCCAGTTGCTAGTCATTACGAGACATCATGAATTTGCTTCTATACATTAGGCAATGCAGTGACATATCTACAAAATGAATCAAAACACACACCAAAACAGCAACAACAATGTACCTGGAAAGGAAATGTCTTGATAGGGTTTATGACTTCTGCTCGTGTAGGTGGCAACGTCAGCTGTTGGGGACTGGACATAAGGCTTAAGTGCCTCAGTGGTCTGTTTTGTAACAGCAATTGCTCTTTTCTCTTCATCATCTCAGTAATAATTTGTGCCTCTCTAACATGATCTGAAGACCTTCACGGGGATTAACATTATGATGACTATAATCTTGATCAAGAATATTTATGTTCTTGTTGAGATAAGAAACTGAGGCAGCAAGCAAAGAAGAAATTAATAGTTTAATATCCTGTCTCATTTCCCACTGACTGCAGCAGGAGCTGCTGATGGCCAGCACCAATGAGAGAAGGACAAAGAATGACAAAGAAACTAATTGGAAATCAGGGTCTATTTTCTGAGTCGTGTCCAAACTGCTTCTACTGTGACTTGAATTGGTAAGACTGAAGAGAACTGCAGATAAAACACAGTGTGTGTGTAATAAAAGAGGGGAAATTTATTTCCCTTTTTATTCACCACATATTTTAGCTCGGAAGCAAGAGAGGGCAGGGTGCAGATATCTGTGTCACCAGAAGTTCCTCTGCAGCAAGCCATTTTAGCTGGTAGGAGTATTTCCATCAGTGTCCTGATATTCAGCTAAGATGTAAACTCAATTTTATTCTGATTCCCAGCTTTGGACAAATGTTCCGTGTGCTTTGTCAAAATTGAGAAAAAGATATAGCAAAGGTGTGTTCATTTTAGCCCCATGGTTGTATTTTTGAGTCCCTCTTTGTCCATTACAGAAGATTTCCCAATTATTCTTCAGCCCAGAAGTGGCATAAGCAAAGACAAAAGGGAAAAACAGTTTCTTCCCCAACAGAATGATGCCAGAAGCTGACCATGATCCCTGTTTTTAATGATTATGCAATTACTATTATTTGGATTCAATAATTTATAGATTTTCCAAGTTGAAAAATGACCGTTTCACCAGCTACCATGTTCTTTCACTCAGATCCAGAATAACCTTTGCTTTTTGGTACTTGAGGGCTATTCAGATCAAACTCTTCCCTCCTGCCTGTTTCAGATTCATAGAGCACAGTTCAGAGAGAGAGGAGGTCCAGAGCCATTGGAAAGCCTTTTGCATATTTGTGTGAGGAAAAAGTATCACCCACACAGGCAGGCAGAGATTGAATCTTTTCAAACACTATCTCAGCAAAACAAGTAGCACTCTTTATTATGTTACCCCAATATTTTTTGGTTTTAAAAACTGTAAACATTTTTTTTTTCCCAGGCTTATTCTGTTTAGACCTGCTAGGGCGTATGTCAAGTGAAGAGGGACTCTTCACTAAATCCTTCACATTTTCTCTTCTTTCTTGAATAATACATGAACATGTGAACAGGCAATGCCTCCACAATGTGAAGAACTGCTGCATGCACAAGAGTGATATTGCTCATCCTCAATTTGACACATGTGGAACACAGGTTCCTTCAGATATCTAGGATACATGGTGAATTTGCTGGGGGTGGAGAATGCAACTGTTCTTCCAGAAACTTAGTTGTATATGAAGGTTTTGAATGTCTCTTACACTGAAACGCATGTAATACTTGTTCATCTATATGTCTCCGACAGCAGCCAGCAATGGATGACTTCAGAGAATACTTCCATAACATATCTTGCCCATTTACAGATATCTTTAGCTTCCTGCCCTACTGTCTTAGTATTTAACAAGCTGCAGACATTTTGATTTCATGAATTTGCCCGAACACATCTGAATTAAAACAATCCTTTTGTTATTCACCACATCCTGTGTCAATGAATTCCAACATATACAAGCCTTTAGGTAAAGAAGCCACCTTTCCTCTGAGATAGTTATTTTCCATTAAAGAATTATGTTGTTTTTTTGTTTTTGTTTTTGTTTTCTTGCTTGAAAGACAATTATTTCAAAAAATCATCTTTACTGCCTCTTCCCCCTACCATTTCTAGTTCTTGTAGATATATTTTAAATATATTTCATTTCACTTCTTGTGCTGGACCTATAACATTCCACTCTATCTCCTTTACAACCTCATTTCAGACTCACCTTTTATTAAATGACACTTACTTCAAGCCAGATCCTGCCACCTAATTCCCAACAAACCATTAGGATGGGACATCAGCAGAGCTCAGCTACCTTCTTCCTGTTTGCTCAATGGCGTTGGGTTTGGAACTAGATGATCTTCATCAATGATCTGGATGATGGCATTGAGTGCACCCTCAGTAAGTTTGCAGATGACACCAAGCTAGGTGCGTGTGTCGATCTGCTCGAGGGTAGGAAGGCTCTGCAGGAGGATCTGGATAGGCTGCACCGATGGGCTGAGGTCAACTGTATGAAGTTCAACAAGGCCAAGTGCCGGGTCCTGCACCTGGGGCGCAATAACCCCAAGCAGAACTACAGGCTGGGAGAGGAATGGTTGGAGAGCTGCCAGGCAGAGAAGGACCTGGGAGTGATGGTGGACAGTCGGCTGAATATGAGCCAGCAGTGTGCTCAGGTGGCCAAGAAGGCCAACGGCATCCTGGCTTGTATCAGAAACACTGTGACCAGCAGGGCTAGGGAGGTGATCGTCCCCCTGTACTCGGCTCTGGTGAGACCGCACCTCGAGTACTGTGTTCAGTTTTGGGCCCCTCGCTACAAGAAGGACATCGAGGTGCTTGAGCGGGTCCAAAGAAGGGCGACGAAGCTGGTGAGGGGCCTGGAGAGCAAGTCCTATGAGGAGCGGCTGAAGGAGCTGGGCTTGTTCAGCCTAGAGAAGAGGAGGCTCAGGGGTGACCTTATTGCTCTGTATAAGTACATTAAAGGAGGCTGTAGAGAGGTGGGGGTTGGCCTGTTCTCCCATGTGCCTGGTGACAGGACGAGGGGGAATGGGCTAAAGTTACGCCAGGGGAGCTTTAGGTTAGATGTTAGGAAGAATTTCTTTACTGAAAGGGTTGTGAGGCACTGGAACGGGCTGCCCAGGGAGGTGGTGGAGTCACCATCCCTGGAAGTCTTCAAAAGACGTTTAGATGTAGAGCTTAGGGATATGGTTTAGTGGGGACTGTTAGTGTTAGGTTAGAGGTTAGACTCGATGATCTTGAGGTCTCTTCCAACCTAGAAATTCTGTGATTCTGTGATCTTTAAGATCCTCTCCAACCCAAGCCATTCTATTCTATATACTACTTACATACTACTCACTCTGTTTTGAAAGGCACCTTGATGGTGACTGCTAAGAATAGGTTGTTCTAATAAGGGATAATCTACCTGACATGAATTCACTCACTGAAACACTTGGGAAGCACCTGCTTACTCCCAAAGCTCTTTTGCTGCCAGTCTGTTAGTGTAATAGAACACTACTCACCATGATCGAACCTGTCTTGTTAAATTACCAAGCATTTTTTGGAGAAGTTTGATGGAAAGGTAACAACCGACCGTAAAGTAAGCAGCCATATTTGCAGTGTGTTCATTTCTCTCACTTTTAACCTGCTGCAGACAAACAATTTTTCACCCGGGAAAAGTGATAACGGCCCGTTTATTTTTTGTTATTCATCTTACGAATAGGACTTACTAATAACTTACTAAAGACTTACTTAATACTAATAAAACTTACTAATAAGAGTTACTAAAGACTTACTAATCCTTACTAAGGCACTGGAAAACATGTTAGCTTGTTTCCCTTAGAAGAAAAAAAAAATTAATAACTCAGGAAAAGTTGAAAGAAGGAAAAAATCCTTCCTAGCTAGTAAATACAATTCTGTTTATTCAAGAGCAAGAAGAAGCATAAAAGTACCTCTTTTGACTTTTATATATATATAAATATATATATATATACAAATTTACATAAAACAATTTCATACAAATATTTTCTGATGATTTATTCCTTTTCATAGGGGCTTCAGGGTACAAAATGAGATTGGGAATTTTTAGAGAGTCTGCAGAGGCTCAGCCACATGCTCAAGTTACTGTGGTTTATAAAAATAATAATAATAATAATTTAAAAAATCTTTGAAATCAGCTAAACTACAGAAACCTCTGGAAGAAAGATAGCTCCATATTCTTCTGTTGCAGGTGACACAATGTCAAATGATTACATATAAAACTTGAATCTGGGACACAAACAGGTTTTGTAAACTGTATTTCTACAATATCTAGATGAATGATGTTACAGAACCTATTGTGCCCAAAGAATACTCCACATCACATTCATTCCGTAAATCCTACTACATGGTGTAAAAACTAATGATAGTAATAGTAGGTTCTCTGGTCCTGTTCTTCTGAGGCCTGGTCTTCTGTACTGATATTTCTCCTAGCTAAAAGTAGTGCATGGAAGGCAATGCACTTTGAAGTTAAAAGCAGAAAACCATATTATGGGTTCCTACATTTTGCAACAATAACTTACTTCTCCTTCCTTTGCTTTGCCCCCTTGCTGTGTTCAGCATCTGTGAATACAGACATAAACTAAAAGGTTCCCCAGAGCTCCTCTGGGTGAGGTCCAATAGGAGCACAATTTTGATGCTGCAACTGTAACCATAGGCCTTGAAAAGCAAAGCTGGCACTCTATTATGGAAAGCAGCCAGCCCTAAACTATCAGGGCTCTGATGTTTTCCCTCCCACTCTGCCTCTCAGGCCCAGATGTTATGCTCATTACTGTTTTATCCTTCACAGTAGTTTTCCCTCCCTCTGCTGCTGTGCTCTGCCTATAATGCTTCAGAAACAATGATTGCATTGAGATTTTCTGTTAGTTTTTCTGTGTTTTATGTTGTCTTCTTCCCTT